AGTGCAGCCTCCTGTGGACTACTTGAATTTGCAACTGACAGGGCTGGAGTAATAAAATAAAGGAGAAACGTATAGAATGTCGTTCCAAATAACGACACCAAACTCCAAGGTGGGGGGCACTCCCATAGTAAAAGGTCGGGGATGTTCGTCGTCTGGCTTAGGGGTGTAAATCACCGATTTTGGTCTCACTTAGGAAGTTCATAACGAAAAGTCGCTATTTTTAGCTGTCAAAGTATCTTTTAGGGTGCAATCAAAAAGATCAAAATAAAAAAACGCTGTCATTTTCGTTTTCAGGCTAGATTTTTTTTATTTCCGCCGCTCTCTCAAGTCCGGTCTACTAGCCCGGACTCCTTTCCTGAACAGCAGCTGGGAAGTGGTATCTTTTAGAGGTCAAATAAAGCTTGAGCCACGCCCAGATTGGTCTCCTTTAGGGATTTAATTCAAATTTTCCGACAAGCATTCCCGACCTTTTCATATGGGAGTCCCGCCGGACACCAAACAAACCTTTGCATTCAAGTGTTTGCGTGGAACGTTGTGTGCAGAATTAAGTTTCAGCTTAAATCACTAAACGCAAACTAAATTCATTTTCATTCTACTTTGTCCGAAAGTGCTGGTTGAGTCGCAGCTCTAAACATTTTTCGATGTTGAACGGCATTACGTGTTCAGAGAAAGGATCTGATTCCATATGAAGTATGTTCGCTTAGCAACTTCACCCAATACGGAAAGGCCGCCAAAACTGCTTGGAGATAAATAGGAAAAAACATCCGTAGCATTAGTAGCCAATCAGACCGTAGTTTGGTATGTCAGTCTACTATCTAATAAATATTGCATCACGTACTTAGGTGCACATTTAGCCGTGCCTAGATTGCCTAGGGACGTTGAAGTTATCATTTCAAACTCAAAAGTTGCGATTATGTTCTTATCTCAGTAATATAACTATATGTACCTTACATTTCCACCCACCTGAATCTGAGGCTGATGTGGAAGGATCTGTAACAGATGATTCGCCGATAGCCACGAAATCTTTGCTGTCCACAGAAATTGCTTCTGACCGCCACTTGTACAGCAAACGTAGCCTACCCGATCCCACTGTCTCGAAAGAACAACGCACCTTCAGGTGAGACTCTGCGATCTCAACCTGTCCCCTGTCCACAATGCCATCGCCCAATTCTCTTTGGAGTACACACAATGCCTCTGAGATGGTCTTCCTACGTGTCGAAGAAAAAACTACCCGGAGATTTCCCGAGTCGGTACGTTCTGTTTCGACTGCAACAGGAAGAGTACCTATCGGAAAGTGATAGAGCTCCTCCTCGCTCATTGAAGGCAGCACTATCGCCGATTCAAACGCTCCAACATTGCGAATTCGCCCATCCAAGTGAACACGTGCAGTCACTCCTAGCTGTAGTTTGCCTTCAGACTCTTTTCTGATCTCGAACTGTTGAGAAAAGGTGTCATGTGGCCTGTCGTACTTGATAGCCTCACTATAGCAGGTCACTGGGGAATTAGCACTGTCAGTGATCTCAAATCTGACCAGTTTGGACGGATCAAAGGTCGCAAACTTGATCAGACTAAGCGAAACATTGTAAAAGTAACGCATTTCAATTTCCTTTATTTTACGAACATCTTCTGAGATTCTTCTCAGGGAGCGCGCAAAAAGCTGTAATCTCTTGTGCAATTTACCATCTTGGCGGCTCTGGAAAAATTTCTTTAGGAACTCTGCCATATTCCAAATTCCTAGACTTTCACTCCAATTTTCGATCTCTTCGGTTGAATGCTTCTCGCAATTGTTGAGACACAAACTCTCGAGAACTCGACACACTCTGCTCACGAGTTTAAAAATATCTTCATTTAGAAAAGCATCACGAACTTTGGACTCATGGTGGGGAATAATTTCTCTGGGCAAACCTTTTAATCCATTCTGCACAATTGGATGATTCTCCTTACGGAAAATGTCTTTGATGGCTTGAATGAGAAAGGGGACAATGGACAAGAAATCTTCAATGACGGATGTCGTTGAAGATGAGGAAATCGTCTCCAACTTCAAGGCAACATCTTCGGTGACTTGTTGACGGATGGAAAGAAAACGTGGGTAGTTTTCTACAGAGACGTCTGCATCCAGTTCAATACAGCAATCTTTTAAAATGGAATCACAGCAAAGAGTTCTGATTTGATTATTGAAGTACTCCACCAGGTCCGGATCCTCGCGATTCAAGCTTTGGATTTCAAAGACCAGTTCTCTCAAATGGTTGATGTGCATCTTTCCTCTTTCATCCACTTCACAGTCTTAAAAGAGAAGAAATATGATTGCTAAAACTCAGTATGGGACCACATTCAGCTTTACACTTTGCAAATCAGGAAATATTCTCAGATATTTGCCCAGAATTCTTTGGTTGAGCATTAGGAGAGGCCAGACCTACTTTACAACTGTCTTTATTTTTTGTTAACCGCGAAGACAAAGATTATTATTCGTGTTATCGTGTTGTTCCGGTAGGACAGCTCGGTTTTGACTGCCGCTCGTACTGCGGGTGCAGCCACCGTATGCAAGGAAACTACGGTCACGTGATTTACATAAAAACCTAAAATCGAACTTTTGCGACATTTGTGGCGTTTTTAAGCTTGCTATGGATAAATTTCCCAAATTTTTTACTTAAGGACGATTAAGTGGCAGGCATATATCTCTAAACAACGTAGAGGATATTACACGGCGGACTGGAGATATGTAGTTCATTTTCGAGTGGTAAAAACTATTTTACGAACGAGCGCAGCGCGTCAGGCGTTTGAGTAAAATATTGTTCTTAACGTGAGAAAATAAACTTCATATCTTCAAGCCACTGTCTAATTTTCTTTTTTTTACATAGCAAACTGACTATTTCGGCAAAAAACCATGTAAAAAATGACAACATCAATATCTTCAATAATGAGGATGTGAAAAATACACCACTCGCGTCCCGAATGTCAAGGTTTCGTACAATTTTTATGATTCTCTTACCTGGACATGACTGGTGGGTTAATATTGCAAACAAATTGCTACTAATTTTTACGGACACAAAGATAAACATAGTTCTCTTTTTAAGCAAAACTTCACAGCGAAAAGAAGGCTAAAACTATTGAAAAAGCTTCTCAGTGATAAATGACACAAGAACGAACATGTTAAAAACCTTCCTTACGTTGTGCCATACTGGCTTTATTTTCAAAACCCATCAAAAGTGTGATCCACCAATGTGTGGCGTGTACATTTCTCTATTTGCAAGCATCATATTAAGAGAAAAACAATAAATAAGGTGACATTATGTGCTGAAACAATTCTCTGGCCAAATTCGTCATCGAGATTGCAACTAACCTATTGAGTTGAGTCCTTGAAGAGTGTCCTTCAATATTGCAGGATCGTCATTGCAGCGCTCTTCTTGTCCCGTCGACCAGTATTGGAGAATTATTTTCAGCTGTTCTTCATCTTTCTGCCACGACTTAATGGCTTGGTTCACTGCTTCTTCCGGGACCTCAAGCTTTCGGGCAATTGGTACGAGGTTTAAAATGGACCCCTCAACTCTTAACAGTCGCCTCACGTATTGGCAGGTATCTGTAATAAACACCTCCATAACATCAGCGGATAGCTCCAATCCTTATGCTTAATTTTATTACGAAGCTTCTTAATGACCGGAAGACAGTAAAGGTTTTCAATAGGCTGATTAACCTGCAGTCAAAGCGTTTTTTACAGGCTGGCTAGAACCCTTCTTGGCCTAAATATTACTCCGGTAAGCCTCAATAGCGCTCCAGTTAGCCAGTTTACGGTTTGTTTTCAATATGTAATGGTAATGGGGATATGATGTGAATCATGATAATCAGGACTAAAGATCAAGAAATCGATCGCTAAGGTTGAAATTTTCGATTGGTTGTAATTGAGAATGCCGATCGCAATACTGAACAAGACAAAGAGCCACAAGCAAGCAAGGGATTGGAGGGACGAGGGAAACCGCGGAGAGCCACAAGGCAACAGCTATAGCGCCAAACAAGCGACTGAATTACCGGTAGAAATGGTAGGCTTGCAGTGCCGTGAGCTAGCGAGAGGGTACAAGATCACAAATTTTCGTTTCGTCACGTTATCCTACCTTCCTTAAATCTGTCAGATTATGTAACTTTTCGACACAGGTTTGTACCGCTTTTTTCAAAGAAAATTGTACATGTAATGTATGTACATGTACAGTCCTGAAAAGTACCTAAATGTCTAACAATTGCTGAACTATACAATTTTTCCAGTGATTCTGTGTTACACAGTTGGGAAGCAGCTCAAAATAGGACAAGTTTTAAGAAACTGGAACAGGCTGTGTTACAACATTGTAAAGAAAAGTAAACCAAAAAAGTAATTAATCTATCGTAGCAAAATTAAAAGAGCGAACACAACGGTCACCCCTTTCTGGTTAGATTTACCTCTTTTTAAGCCCTCACGTTTCCTTGACATATATATTACCTAACAGAAGCTAAGAAAATAGATAACTCCAACTTGTCTACAATCTTCCTCAAGATAATCAATTTCAATTCAATGTTGTTTTTTCTGCATGGGAAACAGTTCTCAGCAGGATTCTACGTTGACACGAAAAGACTTAAAAACCGCAAGTAGCAGACAAACAAGTGATTTTGACAATTTTGATACGTTTTATCGGTGAGATTTTCTAGTTTATGCACTCACAGAAATATACACTTTGCTCAATTTGCTCACCTAAGCCACAGAAGGTTTCCTTCAGAATATGCCCATATTGGCCTTCAATTCTTATCTTTCCGTACAGGATCCTGACACTATCAGCACCTATTAGGGACCATTTTATGACATGCCCGGTGCTCCACCAAGTTGAACAATCTACTTCGACGGTGCTTTTTAGCTGTTCATCAGTTAGCTCATAGTCCCGCCCAAGGAAAAGAGAAACCTGCAGATTTTCATTGTTGTAGATGCGATTGCTCTCTGGTCTATCTATGGAGCACACTTCCTCATATCTGTTGCCCTTGAGCTACATCAAAACAGAAGAAGGGTGTTCTCTGTAACACGTCTCGTGGTAGACGTCGTGGCTCATGAAGACTAGGGCAAGTTCACCAAGGGGTGAATGTGGATGGTTGTCTTTAAAAAGCACTGACAACGTGTAGTGGAATCCTCGAAGGTTCAGCCTGGTGACAACATTTTTGGCTAATATCGAAGTTAACCTCAGCAGAGCTGCTATTCGAGAGAATCGGTTTGTTTCAACTTTCAGTTCTTTCTTTTGTAGATCAATTTTGGCCCGATGGGTGACATCTTCCCAAACGATCTTTCCGTCTCTAGCTTGTGTGCCATGCAAAACCAGAACGTCGCTTGGTCGGAAAGCATCCGTTTCAGTTGTTAACTTGGTCTGCAATGTAACCGGTTTCTTAAACACTTGACCATTTGGTTGCAAATTGATGACGGGTGCAATGAACATGACTTCACTCTCAAGTCCATTTTTGACTATCATATCACAGTGTGTAGAAGGCTTCTCCAGAACTACTTTGATGGCCACGCGATCGTCCGACTTGCTTATGGCACCATTTGGGCAAATAAGTTGAACGTCCTCGGCAAGCCGCAATGTCCCACCTTCATAATTCACGATTCCTTCGACGCTGTCCTGGCTTTCGATAAATGTTGGCCTTGTCACCTCGGAGTCCTTCCTAAGTACGTTTTCTGGAAGAAAATATACATGTGACAGTTATTCAACTAAAAGGTTCCGTTGGCCGCGCGTCAGTTTGTCATCTTATCAAATATTATACAGATCACACAAAAAAATATCTTCTTCACCTATCCTTTCACAGTTAATTAAGAGATAACAATAAGGAAATATATAATCAAAACCAAGGGTCACGAGATACGAAAATAAATGTGTTACTATTTGAAACAAGATTCGCTCGCTCAATACTACAGTGAAAAGCCGAGACAGGAAAGAAAAAAAACCGAGTTGATATTGAACATTTTGATGCAAAGAGTTGAAATTATTTTCCAATTTGCTTATGGCACCATTTGGGTAAGTAGCTTGAACGTCCTCGGCAACAATACCCCACCTTCATAATTCACGATTCCTTCGATGCTGTCCTGGTTTTCTTTAAACTTTGGCGTTGTCATCTCGGAGTCTTTTCCCAGTTCATTCTCTAGAAGAAAATATACATGTTAATATGGGTTATTGACCAAGCGTGTTCGACCAAAATGGCTGGATATATTTTGGCCAAGTTCTTTGTTTTGCGTGTTTATGGACTAAGACGGATTCGCTCACCCAATACTACAGTGAAAAGCCGAGACAGGAGAGATAAAAAGTGTTGATATGGGACATTTGGATGTAAAGGGTTGAGATTATTTCCAATAAGCAGCTTTTCAACTAATTTTTTTTTTTTTTTGACAAGATATATATAGATTACTTCATAGAAAGTGCGACTTACGGATTTTTATTCACGAGTTGCAAAACTTTGGAAAACGAACGAGTGAGNTTTTCGTTTTCAGGCTAGATTTTTTATTTCCGCCGCTCTCTCAAGTCCGGTCTACTAGCCTGGGATCCCTTCCTGAACAGCGGCTGGTAATCAAGCCTATTCCATTTTAAGTGGTATCTTTTAAGGGTCAAATAAAGCTCAAGTCACGCCCAGATCGATCTCCTTTAGGGGTTTAATTCAAATTTTCCGACGAGCATCCCCGACCTTTTCATAAGGAAGTGCCCCCGGGCACCAAACAAACCTTTGCATTCAAGTATTTGCGTAAAACGTTGTCTGCAGCTAACAGAATCAAGTTTCAGCTTAAATCACTAAACGCAAACTAAGCTCATTTTCATTCTACTTTGTCTAAAAGTCAGTGCTGGTTGCGTCGCAGCTCTAAACATTCTTCGATTACGGCATTACGTGGAGAAAAGATTTGATTCTACATGAAGTATGTTCGCTTAGCAACTTCACCCAGTACAGAAAGGCCGCCAAAACAGCTTGGAGATAAACAGGAAAGAACATCCGCAATATTAGTAGCCAATCAGACCGTGGTTTGGTATGTCAGACTACTATCCAAAGAATACTGCATCACGGTCTTAGCTGCACATTTATCCGTCCCTAGATTGCTTAGGGACGTTGAAGTTATCATTTCAAACTCAACAGCTGCGATTATGTTCTTATCTCAGTAATATAAGTATACGTACCTTACATCTCTACCCACCTGAATCTGAGGCTGATGTGGAAGGATCTGTAGCAGATGAATCGCCGATAGCCTCGAAATGTTTGCTTTCCACAGAAATTGCTTCTGACCGCCACTTGTACAGCAATCGTAGCCTAACCAATCCCACTGCCTCGAAAGAGCAACGCACCTTTAGGCGAGACTCTGCGATCTCAACCTGTCCCCTGTCCACAATGTCATCGCCCAATTCTCTTTGGAGGACACACAATGCCTCTGAGATGGTCTTCTTATGTGTCGAAGAAAGAACTACTCGGAGATTTCCCGAGCCTGTTCGTTCTGTTTTGACTGCCACAGGAAGCGTACTTATCGGAAACCGATCGAGCTCTTCCTCGCTCGATGAAGGCAGCACTATCACCGATTCAAACGCTCCAACCCTGCGAATTCGCCCATCCAGGTGAACACGTGCAGTCGCTCCAAGCTCCAGTTCGTCTTCAGACTCTTTTTTGATCTCGAACTGTTGAGAAAAGGTATCATGTGGCCTGTCGTACTTGATAGCCTCGCTATAGCAGGTCACTGGGGAATTAGCACTGTCAGTGATTTCAAATCTGACCAGTTTGGACGGATCAAAGGTCGCAAACTTGATCAGATTAAGCGAAACATTGTAAAAGTAACGCATTTCAATCTCCTTTATTTTACCAACATCTTCTAAGATTCTTCTCAGGGAGCGCGAAAAGAGCTTTAATCTCTTGTGCAATTTACCATCTTGGCGGCTCTGGAAAAATTTCTTTAGGAATTTTGCCATATTCCAAATCCCTACACTTTCGCTCCAATTTTCAATCTCTTCAGTTGAATGCTTGTCGCAATTGTTGAGACACAAACTCTCAAGAACTCGACACACTTCGTACACGAGCCTGAAAATGTCTTTATTTCGAAAAGCGTCTCGAACTTTAGACTCATGTTGGCTAACACTTTCTTTAGGCAATCCTCTTAATCCATTCTGCTTAACTTGGTGATTCTCCTTACGGAAAATGTCTTTGATGGCTTGAATGAGAAAGGGGACAATGGAGAAGAAATCTTCATTGATGGATGTCGCTGAAGATGAGCAAATCGTCTCCAACTTCAAGGCAACATCTTCGGTGACTTGTTGACGGATGGAAAGAAAACGTGGGTAGTTTTCTACAGAGACGTCTGCATCCAGTTCAATGCAACAATCTTTTAAAACGAAATCGCGGCAGAGAGTTCTGATTTGATTGCGGAAGTATTCCATCAGATGCGGATCCTCGCGATTCAAGCTTTGGATTTCAAAGGCCAGTTCTCTCAAATGGTTGATATGCATCATCCCTCTTTCATCCACTTCACAGTCTTAAAAGATAAGACATATGATTGCTAAAACTCAATATGGGAGCATATTTAGCTTTTCACTTTCCAAATCAGGGAATATTCTCAGATATTTGTCCAGAATTCTTTGGTTAAGCATCAGGAGAGGCCAGACCAACTTTACAATTGTCTTTATTTTTTGTTACCCGCGAAGAAAAAGATTATCCGTATTATCGTGTCGAATTTCGGTAGAACAGCTCGGTTTTGACTGCCGCTTGTACTGCGGCGCAGCCACCGTATGCAAGGAACGGTCACGTGATTCACACAAAAGCCTAAAATCAAACTTTTGCGAAATTCATGGCGTTTTCAAGCTTGCTTCGAATTAATTTCCCAAATTTTTTATTGAAGGACGATTAAGTGGCAGACATATCTCTAAACAACATAGAGGATATTACACGGGCGGAGTGGAGAGATGTGTTTCATTTTCGAGTGGTAAAAACTATTTTAAGAACGAGCGCAGCGAGTCAGGCGTTTCAGTAAAATATTGTTCTTAACGTGAGAAAATAAAACTCATGTCTTCAAGCCACTGTGTAATTTCTTTTTTTACTTAACATAGTAAACTGACTGTTTGCGCAAACAACCATGAAAAAACAAGAAGTGACGACATCAATATCTTCCATAGTGAGGATATGAAAAATACGCAACTCGAGTCCAGGATGTCACGGTTTCGTACAAATTTTACGATTCTCTCACCTGAACGTGACTGATGGGTTAATATTGCAAACCAATTGCTACTAATTTTTACGGACACAAAGATAAACATGGTTCTCTTTTAAGCAAAATTTCACAGTGAAAAGAAGGCTAAAACTGTTGAAAAAACTTCTCAGTGTCTCAGTGATAAATGACACAAGAACGAGCATGTTAAAAACCTTCCTTACTTTGTGTCAAACTGGCTTTATTTTCAAAACTTATCAAAAGTGTGATCCACCAATGTGTGGCGTGTACATTTCTCCATTTGCAAGCCTCATATTAAGAGAAAAGCAATAAATAATAGGGTGAAATTATGTGCTGAAACAATTTTCTGGCCAAATTCTTAATCGAGATTGCAACTAACCTTTTGAATTGAGTCCTTGAAGAGTGTTCCTCAACATCGCAGGATCTTCCTTGCAGCGCTCTTCTTGTCCCTTCGACCAGTGTTGGAGAATTATTTTCAGTTGCTCTTCATCTTTCTGCCATGACTTAATGGCTTCGGTCACTGCTTCTTCCGGGACCTCAAGCTTTCGGGCAATTGGTACGAGGTTTAAAATGGACCCCTCAAGTCTTAACAGTCGCCTTACGTATTCGCCAGTATCTGTAACAAACACCTCCATAACCTAAGTGAGTAGTTCCAATCCTTATGCTTAATTTTATTACGAAGCTTCTTAATGACCGACAGACACTTGAGGTTTTAAATAGACTAAAGGACCGACAGTCAAGCTTTTTCTACCGGCTGACTAGAACCCGGGTTGACCTAAATATTACCCTGGTTAGCCTGAATAGCGTTCCGCTTAGCTTGTTTATGGTTTGTTTTCAATGTGTAATGGTAATGGTGACATGATATGAATCTTGAGATCACAACTAGAGATCAAGAAATCGATCACTAAGGTTGAAATTTTCGATTGGTTGTAACTGAGAATGCCGATCGCAATACTGAACAAGACAAAAAGCCACAAGCAAGGGCGGGATTAGAGGGACAAGGGAAACCACGGAGAGCCACACCGTAACAGCTATGGCGCCAGACAAACGACTGAATTACCGGTAGAAATGGTAGGCTTGAAGTGCCGTGAGTTAGCAAGAGGGTATAAGAAAACAAATTTTCGTTGTCACGTTATCCTATTTTCTTTACATCTGCCAGATTATGTAACTTTTCGACACGCCTTTGTACTGCTTTTTTCTAAGAAAATTGTACATGTAATGGATATACATGTACAATCCTGAAAAGTACCTGAATGTCTAACAACTGCTGAACTATACAATTTTTCCAGTGATTGCGTATTACACAGTTGGGAAGCAGCTCAAAATGGGACAAGTTTTAACAAACTGAAACAGGTTGTGTTTACAACATTGTAAAGAAAAGTAAACCAAAAAACTAAGTAATCTATCGCAGCAAAATTAAAAGAGCGAACACAACGGTCACCACCTTTCTGGTCATTACATTTATCTCTTTATCAAATCCTCATGGTTTCTTGACATATATATTACCTAACAGAGGCTAAGAAAATTGATAATTATCTCTTTCTTGTCTACTATCTTCCTCAATATAATCAATTTCAATGTTGTTTTTTCTGCATGGAAAACAGTTCTCAGTAGGATTCTGCGTTGACACGACAAGACCTGGAAACCGCAAGTAGCAGACAAACAAGTGATTTTGACAATTTTTATATATGTTATCGGTGAGATTTCCTAGTTTATGCACTCACAGAAATATACACTTTGCTCAATTTGCTCACCTAATCCACAGAAGGTTTCCATCAGGATATGCCCATATTGGCCTTCAATTCCTATCTTTCCGCACAGGATCCTGACACCATCGGTACCTGTTAGGGACCATTTTATGACATGTCCGGTGCTCCACCAAGTTGAAGAATCTACTTCGACGGTGCTTTCTAGCTGTCCATCAGTTAGCTCATAGTCCTGCCCAAGGTAAAGAGAAACCTTCAGATTTTCATTGTTGTAGATGCGATTGCTCTCTGGTCTGTCTATGGAGCACATTTCCTCATATCCGTTGCCCTTAAGCTGCATCAAAACAGAAGAAGGGTGTTCTCTGTAACACGTCTCGTGGTAGATGTCGTGGCTCATGAACACTAGGGCAAGTTCACCAAGGGGTGAATGTGGATGGTTGTCTTTAAAAAGCACTGACAACGTGTAGTGGAATCCCCAAAGGTTCAGCCTGGTGACTACATTTTTGGCTAATATCGAAGTTAACCTCAGCAGAGCTGCTATTCGAGAGAATCGGTTCGTTTCAACTTTCAGTTCTCTCTTTTGTAGATCAATTTTGGCCTGATGGGTGACATCTTCCCAAACGATCTTTCCGTCTCTAGCTTGTGTGCCATGCAAAACCAGAACGTCGCTTGGCCGGAAAGCATCTGTTTCAGTTGTTAACTTGGTCTGCAATGTAACCGGTTTCTTAAACACTTGACCATTTGGTTGCAAATTGATGACGGGTGCAATGAACATGACTTCATTTTCAAGTCCATTTTTGACTATCATATCACAGTGTGTAGAAGGTTTCTCCAGGACTATTTTGATGGCCACGTGATCGTCCGATTTGCTTATGGCACCATTTGGGCAAATAACCTGAACGTCCTCGGCAAACAATACCCCACCTTCATAATTCACGATTCCTTCGACGCTACCCTGGTTTTCTTTAAATGTTGGCCTTTTCATCTCAGAGTCCTTTCTAAGTTCATTTTCTAGGAGAAATAATACATGTGACTGTTATTCAACTAAAAGGTTCAGTTGGCCGCGCGTCACTTTGTCCTCTCATTAACTACAAATCACACGAAAAAAATATCTCCTTCACCTGTACTTACACAGTTAATTAAGTAATAGGAGTTTGCCGTAGGGGAGTTCGAGGACTTCGAGAGCTGCGTGCTGATCGGTGAAAACAGTAATTTTAATTTCTTTAATCGAGGCCTAGCTATCGCTTGCTCAAATATTAACAGTTTAACTGCTCATATTGACGAATTTAGAGTTTTTATGAGAGATCCAAAAATTGACATTCTCGCCATTAACGAATCGAAATTAGATAATACAATTAACGACCACGAAGTCTATATACCAGGTTTTGAAATTGTTCGGCGAGAGAGACAAATTAATGGTCGAAAAGGTGGCGGGGTTTACTTTTACCTACGCAGTAACCTTAATTTTAAAGTGTTTGGCGAGTTTATGATTGATAGGCTCGAATGTTTAATAGTCGAAATAAGTAAACCCACTCTCGGCCATTTCTTGTCAGTATCTGGTAGAAACCTCCTAGCTCTCCTCCTGACCTGTTTAACGACTTTGAAAATTTAATTGGTAAAATCAATGGTTCTAATCGGGAGCTCTACCTTGTGGGTGATATGAATACAAACCTGTTACCAGGTATCGTGGATAGCAATTCTTCCAAACTCATGAATGTTATGAGATTTTTGGTCTTAGTCAACTGATTACGGGGCCAACGAGAGTAACAGCTCATTCTCAGTCCCTAATTGCCCTATGCGTAACTAATATCCCAGACAAAATAGTTAGATCAGGAGTTATGTCGTTGGGTATTAGCGACCACTCTCTTGTCTATCTAATTCCTAAAACACATTATGCCATTCCTGGGTGTGTTAAGATTATCAGTAATTAAAGTTTTAAAAATTTCAATATGGAGGAGTTTATAGCGAACGCTGAATTAATTTATTAGGATGCCATTAGTCTATTCTCTGACCCCAAGGAAATGTGGAAGTTTTGGAAGAATCAGTTTCTGACCTGTATCGATAAACATGCCCCTATGAAATCGAAAAGAATTGGGAAAAAGAAGTCCCCGTGGATTACGTATGAGTTAATACGTAAAATGAGTAAAAAGCACTTCCTGAAAAAGAAGGCGGAACGATCAGTCGAAGATCAGTCTTGTTGGGCTGATTTCAGAACAGCAAGAAATGAAGTGAATAAATCAATTAAATATGCTAAACGCAAATACTTAAGCGATAACTTCGCTGCTAGCTGAAAAGATCCCCGTAAAACTTGGCAGCTAATTAATGAGCCGAGCTCTCGTCAAAGTATGAAGAAAGTTCTTGCTGATATTGAAATCGGGGACACGAAAACTAGTTCTACATCTGAAATGGCGGAAGCCTTGGACTGCCATTTCGCAAACATTGGACATGGTGTAAACAACTTGTTGGCGAGCGCCCCACTACATAGAAATCTCAAATTCGAAATCACATGATGAAATAGTTTTTGGTTACAGTAAAGTAAATCACCTGAGATCTGCTGCTCAAGGGCAGCATCGTCAAGCCTTTCCACAGCAAAGTGAATGTGATCTTCTATAGGAACCCGAGTAAGAGACTGACAAGACTGCGCCTGAGAATTATTACCTGGACGTGTGGAGCCTTTTTTCACATCTGAAAATAATTTGAGAGAAATTGCAATATTGAAACATAGTTTGAAGTTATCAAATAATATGTACATAAAAGGTTTCCTTGCATGACTCAAAATTATTATTATTTTTTAGTTATTGTTATCATCATCATCATCATCATTATTTTGATGATGATGATGATGATGATGATTATTATTATTACAGGATTAAGGAAGTTCTAAAACGACGTACAAGAAACAGACTATGATCTTCTCCTGGTACAAGAGTACTTTTCACACTTGTACTTGTTTTCTGTCAGAAATCGTGTTAGGTTTATTGAATGTGGCTCTTTTATTCTAAATCAAGTGATATCAAAGTTACTATGTTGGCTGTGTTGTGATTGGAGAACAACTGACCAAAGCTTCAAGATCTTTGAAGATTTATTTAATTAATTAAGTAAAGAGTAATAAATTAAAAAGTAATCAAGTAAAAGTTATCTTATTTGTTTTCTGTCACTATTATTCCAGGCTGTCAAAAGCCTTGAAATTTTCCTTTCTCCATTGGAAGAATGGCCGCCCAGTGTATCCAAGTTGAGTTTCTTTCACTATATCGACTGTGACCTTTAGAATTCAAAGGCAAACTCGTTGAGCATCACGCCCAAAGTCCCGTTCGCAAATTCTTGATGTTGACAGTCTGGCCCTCTATCGCAGAAGGAT